TTTTTAGGAAATGTTTGTGAGTAAGGGTCGCCGAAAAATTCTTGGCATATTTATTTTTGTAAAGGAGGATAACTTCGTTTTGTATGTATACTTGTGTAATTATACGTAAAAATCAGTAGTTGTGGCATTATATTGGACTGCGTAAGAATCAGAAGTGAAAAAAAAAAAAAAGCTGTATATATATTTGTGTGAATGAGTCATTTGTAGGCCGTAATACAAGGTTCCTATTTACAGTACACTTATGCGCGTATCTGACGATATCAGTACAAGAACTACTTTCAAAAATTCATTTACTCGTTGTTTTCACCTTCATTATGAAGCTTTTAATGAGTTTAATTAGTGCTTTTCAGAGTTATACGCTTCATTCAATTTGATGGGAGTAATTATATTGAAATTATTTTTACAGATGATATAAGGAGGGTCAAATATCGTTAAAATTGGAGAGAACAACTAAGCTCTCACTCTACTGGAGTTGTTGACTTTCATTTGAAAAAAAAAAAAAAAAAAATGGGTTTTTGAACCTGTTATTTCTTACTTGTTGAAGAATATGGATGTTATATTTAATAGCTGCTGCTATATGAAAGGTTTACGCTAGTTTGAACTTATCTGTGTAGGAGTTTAAGTTCAGATTTATCTACTTTTTTTTCGTATTTTTTTTGCTCGTGATTTCCAACAGTTTTTTGTTATACAGAACAGCTTAACTGTGGATGTGATTTTTCAAAACCTTTTCAGCCGTATGGATGGAAGAACAGGTTATTCGACCATGTCGAATCCTTAAGAGAGACACTGTTCAATTCGCAATTCCTGTGGATGCAGTCAGAGGGGACTTTTCAGATGTGGAATATCTTGGTGGAGGCTCATTTGGTAACGTCATGTAGGTTTTTCTTTGTTATGGTGTTATCGTTATTTTCAATATTTTTTGTTTCTCAATGGTTAAGTTAAAAAGCAGTTTTGAAATGGGGGAAATGAAGCAATGATCAAGGTCAGGATATTTAAGGGCTAAATGGAGGTTCATTGGCTGAGACTGCTTTTTTTGCGAGATGAGTTTTTTTTTTTTTT